GTCTATATTTGTAAATAACCCATAATATCAAGATTTTTCTTATACATGTAATTGACCAGTGTGAGAGACATACCTATTAGGAAAAGTTACTCTTCCCTACAAATAATGAGACACAGATCAGTGACAAAAAGATTGACTCTTTTCTCTTTGGTCAGAATATGCGGATGATGCACATTTGGGCTTAAATGTCAAAATAGGCTGCTGTGCCCTCTGACAGCTTTGTCAGCTTTGTGTAAATAAAACAACACATTGCAAATTAACTGAATAACTGACATGTTGGCCTCTCTTCCTATGTTCCTTATTTTGGCCAAATAAATACCTAAGAGCAACTGCACTGCAGGTTTGACTGCATAAGACCTATTCTGAACAAGTGTTCAATGTGGCATTAAATCAAGTCTTGTTTGTTGATCTGCACTTCACTACAATTACAAAAGTATAATCTACATTATGTGCTCAGTAGATCACTGCTTTGGTCTTACAGCAGTCAAACTTGCATTCAGCAATGCACACGAAGCAATATGGAGTCTTAGCTTTGTTCAGTAGAAACAATCCTGGTCTGAACTGGCTTTGAATTCAGTGCAGCTCCTGTTGTCTGTGAGACACACTCTAGTCACCATATCGGTTACCTTGTACCCTCTTGTAAGTTGCCAGAAGACAAGGACCAGGGTGAGTCATCCTTAACGTGTAGTGCACATCACAACAGTGAGTCTCGTTGTATTTTTAATGAGCCATCTTGTGAAGCTTGAAGGAGTTAGTAGGGAAGAGGTGACCTTTTCTTCACATTTGACCAGGTAGCCTGTGAGTATTAGACAAGCCCAGTGGGGACTCTGTGTTTATGATGTACCAAATGCACGAACTCAAACACCAGCCTGGAGGTTTGCTTAAAGATTTAAACAGTATCAGGTGGTGCAGCAGGAGAAACAAAATTAATATAAGAATTACTACAAGAGTCTATCAGGTTAGTGTCCACGTATTGCCAATATTTTTCATCCATGGCGATTAGCTTCATGGACCATTCATTTGTCTGATTATTTACCTCTAAGTCATGAGACAGAAAATGAAATAAAAACCCAGAGCAAGCTGACCAGGAGGTTTTAGGCTGTGCAGTTTTAAAAACGGTAGCAGCAGCGTGTTGGCAGATCATGGGTTGAACTTCCCAGTTGAGGCGTAACTGAAGTTGTGCTGGAGGTGTTGTCAGGTGAAGTGGTCAGACAGGTGGGGAAGCTGTAGTATTGTAAGAGCAATACTGTGAAGAGCAAGAGCTGATATGTCTGTGATTAAGGGGCGTGACCACCAGTCAGCATGCTTCTTCTGGAGAAACTCAGGTGTCCCATCATTACCTCTGATGAGTTGGCTTCTTTGATTTGTGTTTTAATTGAAGTCATTCACTCTTGAAAATAATGCTTGTGACAAGAGATAAAAAGTAAGTTTTACAGTGGGATCGCTTTTGCAGTTTTCAGTATGAATTTAAAGACTGAAAATGTTGCAGTGGTAGATCCTACATTAATGAACAATTTATTTGTAAAGGTTTTTTAAGTGTTTTTCATTTCTTATAGAAAAAACTTTTGTTGATCTGTCTGTTTATTACACGTAAACTGCTTAATGCATTTTTAAACAGATCTGACTTTTTTTGGAGTATCTCTGTCAAGAAACGTAATTTTAAAAACTTTTTCAAACTGAAAAAGGTTCACAAAAATGGATGTCAAATATCGACATTACATTACCTAGTGTTAAAATACTTAAAATACTGTCTCCTGGGTTTAAAGAAATAAAATGCCTTTGTGAATCCGAGAACTCAGACAATATGAAAATTAAATCAATCTTTAATTGACAAGGTTTTTCGCCAAGCACATGAATTTGAAGCAAGAGAGGCAAAGAGCCCTTAGTGGAACAAATTCATCACGTTCCCCGTGTTTTCAGGCCCAAGTGTATGTGAAGCAGTCAGAGCAGATCCTACCTTGAGCAGATGTTCCTCACTTATCTTTCACAAACGTCTGCTCAGTGAACATTATTGCTGTTCTCCAGTACTTTGCCTTGGTGTGGTAGTCATCCCTGTCCTTTCTGATAGCTTCAACATGGCGCACTGCCTGCCTGAAGCCTCGGGACTCTGATGCATCGTCAGTCTGTTCATCTGTTCCGTCTCCCTGGGGGAGAGAAGAGAGGGAGCAGAGTGAGGGAGAGGGGGAGGGGACTTTGAAATTGTTTTTATAAGCCCAGAGAACACAGCTAGTTAAAGAAATAAAGTGCATCAAAGATCATTACCTTTATGTGTGAAAGATGTTTGCACAGCCTTGCCCTCAGAGATGTGTCCCTCTGTGTAACTCCTCAGTTATGGCTCTGTTTGTCTTGTCAGATGTTAATTTTGAAATTATAATAATGTGAAATATAAAGTAATACATCAATAGCAGTATAATGTGGAAAAAAGTGTTGCTGTTCTCAGTTCAAATGAAAAACAATCACCTAGAAAGAATACACCGTAATGTGGACCAGCTAGGGGTGCTCAGTCCTTCAGCACTTTTAAAGATAATGTTGCCTTTGCATTTCCCTCTTTGTCCCAAATACCTGCCTTTGTCGCCAGATTTTTTGAAAAGTTAAAGACAAAGCAGGTCCAAGCTCAAATTAGTCAAGCAAAAAGGTTTGTACAGCCTGTAACTCAGGGAACTTTCAGTTCAGGTCAGATCTTAATGACCCACATCAGCTTGTTGTTGGACCGGTTGAACAGCTTTCCTCTGCTCCTCAGGGCTGGAGTTTAACAAAGGCCTGGGAACCCATCAAACACCGGGAGGCTGGATGGAAGACACTAGCACTTACAGTTACAGTGATAATTCAGTAGCACACATGATGCCAGCAGTCATAGTGCTGTTCAAAGCAGCACAACTACAGCACTACATTTCACTTTAAATTAGAAGCTCAGTCTTTGACACTACAAGTCCCTGTTCTTCAAAGCGAAAAACTGAGTCATTAAAAATGAAACAGATTCTATGGGCTCCCACATTCAGGGGATTAGCATTGAATTATATATATCCACTCTTGTTCTTAAAAAATGGGATCTGTTTTTCAATATCGAAACTATCTACTCTCTAGGTTAAACTAAAACAACACTAAAATACAGTATGCATGAAGCTGAGAGTCATATCGCGCAGCTACTGCACTCAGAAGCTCTCTGTCTAATGTGGTGTCCCGTGAGCTCCCATGCCAGGATTCTGCCCCCTCCTCAGACACATCGTCTCTCTGTAGGCCTGCCTCTCTCCTGCTGGTGCTCTGCTGTTTCCACAGAGCACATCATCAGGGCTGTGTTTGCATATAGGAGTACTTAACAATGAATGACAAATTGCACCTGAAATCAATGTTTTTCTGGAATACTAAAACAGAATAAAGGCTTTGGGTGTAGTGCGTAAGGGACGGGGTGTATGAGCCTGATGTGTTGGGTGTGCAGTATGAGAGGCGTGTTGAACAACTGAAAGACACACAAGCATTAAAAAGCTTTTACTTAATGGACAGATTTTCTTTAATACTTCACTGACATCATTAATATTTGGTGTGGAAACAGAGCAGTTCATTCTGCCTTTATTAAGCATGCATTAATGCCTATTTAATCAGTATAAAATAACTAGAATAAAAATTGCTTATAAAGGGCATTACTTGCTATAAAAGCAATCAGGACAAAGTTAACTATTTTCTAGAGCTTCTGGGAAATCCAAGTGCTCTGCCACTTTTTGAAAATCTTGAAAATCTATCCTGGTTCAGCTGTCTGACAATTCAGGACATTTGAGCGATGTGCATTCCACTCCTCCCCTTCCGAAGATAATTGCTTTACTTTTTACATTTTTTTCTTATCTTGAAAATAAATCCTTTGAATTTGTTGTTACTCATCTGGGAATTAAATGTGCAGTGAATGGTTTTGTTGATGAGTGCATACTTATTGTATTACTGTTCTTTTGTTCCTTTAGGATAATCAGATTTTAGGACTACAGTTGCATTAAAAAATAGAATATTTAATACACTGTACATTTTCACATAGTACAAGAATATGAATATTTTGGGGTTTTAAATCCTGTCCTGAATTTAAATACTTTTTTTTATATAGCTGTAAAGTGTCAAGTAATAATGTCCTAAAATAGAAATACTCTCAGAAGCTTGTTTGTTTTGGCAAGCAACTGACTACAGATTTTGACAGAAGTAGATGTTTTGTGGAGAATTTGTTTGGAAAGCAAAATGATTGTAACTAAATGTAGTTGTTTCTTAGGAGCCTTATTAGCCAGCAGCCACATCACCCTGCAACTCACAACTGGCAACCCACTGCAGCTAAGCAGGTGTGAGCCTGGTCAGTACCTGGATAGGAGACCTCCTGGTCTGGAAGAGGTGGGTCCTAATGCCCCACATAGCGACAAGGACACTATACTATAAACAGGCACCGTCCTTCAGTGGTCATTAAAAATCCCAGGGTGTTTCTCAAAAAGAGTAGGGTGTAACCCCGGTGTCCTGGCCAAATTTCCATTGGCCATTACCAATCATGGCCTCCTAATAATCCCCCTCTATGAATTGGCTACATTACTCTGCTCTCCTCCCCACTGAGAGCTGGTGTGTGGTGAGCGTTCTGGCGCACTATGGCTGCCATCCCGTCATCCAGGTGGATGCTGCACATTGGTGGTGGTGGAGGGGAGTCCCCATTACCTGTAAAGCGCTTTGAGTGGAGCGTCCCGTCCAGAAAAGCGCTATATAAGCGTAAGCAATTATTAATTATTAAATGCGAAACGTGGTGCGGGGCGCAAACGGAGAAGGATATCCGGTGGAGGTACAGCAGGATTGGACGGGTTGACAGACGGGGGGGCCTGACGACGGTGATGCGGTGCTCGGGGGGGGCGTGGCGCAGGCAGACGAGTCCAAACAGTCCAAGGGGGAATCTGGGGCGCGGACCAGGATCCAAAAACTGGGGATCCATCCAAAACAAATTAGGGTGAAAATCCGGAACAGGAACAAGAAGTTAAAAAAGTAACGAGGAAGCCTATGCCGCCGGACCTCTGCTGGACACGTTGGTTCCGGGTGTCCATCTCCCAGTGCTGAGCGAGGGGTAGTGAGAGCACCAGGCTTGAATAAGGAGACGCAAAACAGGGAGCAGGTGCACATAATAAGCTAAAATACAAAAGGGTCGGAGCGCCCTTTAAGAGGAGGGATCCCGATCGTGATACCTTATCTTTCAAATGGAGGTGTCTATTACAGGAGACAATGTACAATACAAATTAGGGTGTGGATGTATTTGATTTTAAAAATTGTCTAATACAAATACTTGCATCTTAATTAGTAACAAACCATTAGGTACTGGAAACATTTGCAAAAGTGAAAGCGGTGGATGTCTGCTTGTGTTTACATCACAACGATAATGGAATGGCAAAAACAACATGAAAATGACTGGTTCTTGTAAGTACTTGGTTTTCTCAACTACACAGAACTACTCTTAAATATTAATATTCTTAACCACTCGTACCAATTCAGCTACCATTAACGGTTTCAATTTGAACTTCCAATTTACTGTTGGAAGTAGTTGCAATAGTACCTCTTATTGCAAGAATAATGTATAGTTTCTTTTATCTTTTAATAATAATTGTTATTGGGCTATGCATTATTGGCACACTGGGTAGCATTGCTGCTATTGGGTAGCATTGCTGCTGTATAAATGCTATTCAGTTCTGGACCTGGGGTGCTACTGTATACAGTATCTGTGGCTGGATGGATAATATTTATTTTCTATTCTCTGTGACCATATTGCAAATTCATTACACTTTCCACCCATTAGGGTTAAAACCATTAGTTTTAAGAATGGAAAAAAATGCAAGAATGGTAAATTAATCTTCACTTTAATTTTGTCACACTAGTTCTGTGTCAAAATATGAAATGTCCTGAATATCAGATGGACAGTGTTTCGTATTTGAAGTCATATTCAGAGATAATTTCATTACTGCAAAGCAGCAAGGTTACAAAGCAACAGATCTGCAGTGGTTCTGAGAGCAGCACTGCAAGTGAGCAGAGCTGAGCAGGACCTGTGGCTGTCAGCATGTGGGGAGAAAGCGTGGCTCTTCTCCGGGGAAATGAAACCTCCTCAGGGTGTCTTTCCCAGCCGCAGTAAGGGATTCGGCTCTGGCAGCCGGGAGGATGGTGAAGAGCGAGCTGCTCACTGACCACTGCTTGCTGTTTCTCACCTTCAACACGGCTGTCTCCGTTGTTCGCACCAGTGCCAGGATGAGGCTGTGTGAGAAAGTGCTTTGACACTGATCACAAACTTACTGTTTCAGTGAGTTTATTCAGCCTCTTGTGTTGGGTATCACACTGTTTGCCCCAGTTTGTTGGAGCACTGCTCATTATTATCACTACATACTGTAGCAAATCTACTTTCTACATCAAGGAAACAACTGATGTACTGAATGAATGCGAGTGTGTATCAAGTCTTGTATTAAATATTAGCCTCGGCAGAAGTGTTTCTGGCACTTGAAACAAATCTCCAGGGCCTGGTGGTGTTCTTCCTACTGTCCTAAGCAGAGATGTTATTCACAGGCTATGAGTAAATTCTTCCAGCAGTCATGCAGAGCAAAGGTACTACTCATAGACTTTAAAACTGCTAATGTAGCACCAATCCATAAAAGAGGGATATAGGAGATCTAAATAATTATATACATTTTTTATTGAATTACATGTGAGGAAATGGAAATAAGTAGATCTAAACTAGAGGATTATCTGTACAATAACAGGGTCTTCGTTAACTCGCATGTTACAGTTTTTTTTAACAAATAGCAGCTATAATGAATACAGACCAGACAAATGGTGTAATATATTTAGATTTTCAATAAGCTTTTGATAAAGTTCCTCACTGAAATTAATTCTCAAATTGCAAATGGTAGGAATTCAAGGAAATGCATGCATTTGAATTGAGACCTGGTTAATGAACAGAGAAGAAAATAGTTCATGTAAGAGGTGAAAGCTCAAGGGGGCGGTGTAATTACTGGAGTACCCCTGGGACTATATTAGGGTCACTGCTCTTCCTGATTTATATCCGTGTTAGTTCTTAGGTTCTCATGTCAGTGTTCTAAATTCTAGATATACTGCAATGCTAGTACTAATAACATAATACAACAAAATACTGATATACTAGTAAGTAACATAGTCAAAGTTTGTTAACTTTTGTTACGTTTTTACATTTCCCTGTAAAGCTTTTGTGTTTTGCCATGGTAATATTAACTCTAAGCACCTTTAAATTTTACCCTGTGTGTTTCTGCCTAGTTCATTTTCAGGGCAGATGCATATGAACATTTCCTAATTGAAGCTGAAAATGACGTGTGTGTGCCAGACTGCTCTGCTGCTCTGCTTGGCTCTCAGCTTCCTTTATTGTCTCAGTTGAATGGCTGATGGCCAGAGGAAGCTGTGCGGTAGAGTCTAGACCTGACCTGCTGTGCTCCACCAGCCCCAGCCCGTGGCCTGTGTTTGGATTCAGCCTCGGGTGGCTCTCGCGAGGTGCTGTGTAATTGTGTAATGGATCTTGCTGTTACAAACCCACTCCCGGGTTCTTGAGGTCTGGAGCTAAAAGAAGAACAGTCTGAGTTTTCAAGCTGGCTGTACCCCCTCTATCCAGTTTTACAGGCTTTTACAGAGTCTTGCTTTAAAGTTTTTTTCTGTCTGACAGCACCCTATGTACTGTAGTTGATCTGCGAAATCCTGTTTCCAGTAGACCAATCTCTCCTGTAAAATGTATTTCCTCTCTGGAAAAACATTCATTATTTTTGCAAGGAAACCAAGTGTTTTCTTTTAGTGTGATTTGAAATCCATTGATTGTAAATGGCATTAATTGCAATTGGGGAAAAAAAGCCATTTTGTACTTTGATATTCTTATTAAAACCTCTGTGTTTCAGAGTGGTCCCAGCTGTGGTTCAGGGTACGAGTGGCACAGTCCCCGTGGACGGTGCCTTTTTGTGAATGTGGAATCACGGCCCAGATGTGCACTGCCCAGCTGTGTGACACTTAATGAATTTCAGGTAATCAGAATTGCTAGTCTGATGCCTGTAAAAGCTGCAGAAATGTAGTTTGCAAGCTGCTTCTTGGCCTGCCCTGTTCTGGAAGTGAACTGTACTGTACATCTCTGTCCACTGTGCACTGTGCGCTAGCACGCGAGTGTCTTAGTTCTGCATGCCATGATCTGTGGGTTGACAATGAATGTGAAACAATTCTTCATTGTTTTCATGGTTGAAACTCTGTGCTATATTGTAAACCCTGCCCCTACGAATGAAGCTCAGGTTCTGAGAGCCTAGTTGTCAGTGATTTAATGCACATCCAGTGTACTTTTAAAGACAAGATAATAGTCATGCAGGCGTCCGATGACAGTAATCATGATTTTTGATGTAGTCAAGCAGCAGCTCTTAGCATAGGCTTTTGACAAGTCTATGAATCAACTGGCAATTACGAGTCGTGCTCTCTGTGAGCACAGCCGGCAACTAGCAGCCCGGGGGCAGAGCATGTTGTGTGTTTCAACACTCCAAACAGAAGCTGCTTCAAAAGAGGAAGAAGCAGCTTTATAGGAGCCCTTCTGGAGGGCACAACGTCCACTGGTGTGTCTTGCTGCCATGTCTGTAGATGTGGCAGATGCAAAGAGCTGGGCAGGATGAGAAAGGCAGGTTTCTGGGGATTTTACACTCCGAGACGGATATCAGGGAGGGTCAGGGAGATTAGATCTCTGTAGTACTTGAAGGTGAGAGGGAAAGGCCGTAGAAATGCTTCCTCGATTTTGTTTATCAAGGAAAATGACTTTTCATCAGACTCTAAAAAGATGTCACTTTGCACAAGAACCACAGCATAGGCTTAGTAGTTCTGAAATCCAGTCTCACAAACGTCATAAGGTCATTGTGGTTTTGGTCCATATGTTAGAGATGGGGGGGAAACGCCTGTATAAAAGGGTTAGATTTGGATGTCCCTGTTTAGGGAAATAATACCGAGCTCACGTAACTCCATTTCTTTATTTTTCTTTTTGACTGAAGACAAGCTTTTTGTTTGTATTCTTCTGTTTGTTTGAATGAACCAAACTTTCTTGCTGAAAGGAACAAAAGGGAAAATGCTTCATTTCTTCATAATTAAAATCATAATTTTTTTTCTGCTGTTTTATTCTACTAGATTAAATTTCTAACCTACCTTAGCGTGGGAGCCCCAATGTCACCTCAGAACATTGGTGAAATAACTCGCCAGTGACCTGTGACCTCGGCAGCGTGCATTTAGAAAAGGGCTTGTCGTGTAAAACGTACCCGTTATGTGACATCGCTCCTGGGCTCTAAATCTAAAATACAGAAGTGAGTTGAAAGATTTGATACAGGTACACTCCCTTTTCTCCTGTCAACAGCCTGAACTGTTTCAGTCTTGCACCAACGTCACAGACAGAAATGAAAAAGTGCTCTCAGATTTAATTAGAATACTCCACTCACCCAGCATACAGCAGATACATTACATAGCTAGAACTGAAATAGTTTTATAATAGTACTCTGCATTTTATGCAGAGGGCTGTGGGAGTTTGTAACAAGCTGCCCAGGCTTGTTGTTGAATGTTGCCTTAATTAGATATTAAAAGAGATGGAGGAGCCCATTGGAACAGTTCTTATGTTGAATGAATGACTCTCTAAGCCTGTCCTGTCTGTACAGGGAACGCAGTGTCCTGTGTACTCTGGTGCTTTATGTAGGAAGTTGCATTTGCAACAGTTTTGTATTTTACTCTAAAGGGATTTGGAGTTTCAGGATTAACTCTTTCTCCCTCCTTTCGCTCCAAAAAGATGGGTAGAAGCAGGAGACGTTGCTCCATCCAGTCACCCTCTCCCAGGAGGGTGCAAGGTGGCCAGTGCCACACACGAGCAGTACTGAGCAGGGAGCTACGGAGTCCGCCCTGCCTGTGGCAGCCTGGCCTTGCTGTTTCTGATGGGCTCTCGTGGGATGGAATTTCATTCATGCATTTTGAGGTTTTAGAAAAAGCCTGGCACAGTGTCATAGAAATCAAATATGTGTCATTTTTTGAAGACCAGTATCAGCTTTTCTCCACTTCATTCTCAAATTGTTGGATAGTCATAGTGATCTTTCCTGGGCGAAAATGACCGACTATATATTTAGCTTGGTGTGCTGTCGGAAGAGAGATATGCAGCCACCCCTCAGCAGTCATGCTCACATCCTCGAAATGCCGGAAAACATCTATTTCTTAAATGAAGTCGTTAGCAAGGGCTATTACCTTCGCTGCACAAGATGAGGCAGACAAGTCTGGCCTAAAATAACGGCAGCCAGAACCGGAAGAAAAACACATACAGTAATCATCATTAAAACTTTAATCACTGTAGAGCCGTCAGAGACAGCACAGCGTGCGTTCCGCCTCTACATTTTTTTATCTGCTCTTGCGTGGCGCTGAAT